CAATAGGACCTGGGAGACCGCATGGAGGACTTTGTCTAATAGTAAGAAAAAACATTGTTTCTGTAAAATTTATACAAAAAGCAACTAATTATATTCTAATCTTATTATAAATTGATAATACTGTAATGAAACATTTATACAAAAAGTTAATTATTATGGTGTTAGTTTACATTCAGACTAGCCAGATAGACTTACTAAATGAAATATTCAAAAATCTCGAAAAATGGAAAAATATCTCTCCATATGTATTATTATTTGGTGATTTTAACTCCAGAGACTATTCTTTGAACCATTTACTAAGAGATTGCGAAGGACCAAAGAAATATCATCAAAAAATATGAAATTAAAGAACTAATATATACGAAGCAAAATCAAGACTTTAGAACTAAATTAAACAACCTTATGTTAAATCAAATGTATTAATGGTTTTTTTTAATTAAATCACCAATGAACTAAAAAATATGTAATAAATTAATAAAACTAAAAATTGTTTTTTACTAATTATGTTACTTAAAGTAAAATATTTAAAAGATAAATAATGACAAAATTTACTATTAAATGGTTATTGCAATATTATTGATGATTTTGAAGATGATGTATATTAAACGATTGATAGATAACAAATGTATATTAATATATCATTGGAAAAATACCCTCTGTAATAAGGCTTAGCCTTAATACAAATAAAAATATTTGATTGATTGATAATACTGCTAACTATGTGGTAAAATAATAAAGTTACACATAAAATTAACTAAATTAGTAAGGGTCCCACACACGTTGAGGAAATCCTTTGAGGAATAACTGTGCAGGCCTGGCCTTAAGGAATTCCTGTTAGTGTGTGGGGGAAAACTGTACAGGTACAAGCCACTGGAGTAGAAACAAAAAACCATTTGACTTTCCTGCACAGTTTTGGACTACACAGGCCAACCATAATGTGTATGCTGTCGTGACGTTCAGTTGTGAGGCCTCTAAGTAGTGAGAACAATGTCTCGTGAATGTTTGGAAGAATTATTTTTTATAATCTTATTAACTTTTATTATTTATAACCTGAAAACTTAATTTTTCAGATTATAAATTATTTTCAGATCAAAAATTTCTCAAGTAAATCAAAATTATAAATAATTTTAATATTTAGAAAACTTCTCAATTCATTTCTTCTGTTTTCATAAAACATCTTGATACTCTATACCAGGGCTTCCCAAACTGTGCGTCGCGACGCCCTGGGGAGTCGCGGCGCTATCATAGGGGAGTCGCGAGACGATACCCACCGGTCGCCTGCACACTACGTAATGAGTGAGTGCATGGTGCATGCGTCTCATCACCCCGCTCCTCCAATTTCCCGCTCTTTCATTCAGTCTTTTGTTTTTGTCGATTACAAGCGTTGATGAATCAGTGTTTTGATTTCAAGTGTGTTCTATTTAAATTGCGCATTGTAAAATGGATAACATTATTCAAATAAATAGAAAACGTGTTGAAGACTCAGGAAAGAGTACAAAGGAAACTGTATAAAAACGAAAAAAGTACAGAAAATATGATGACCAATATTTAGATTTTGGATTTACTTACGTTAGCAAAGGAAATGTGGAACTACCCCAATGTGTTGTTTGTCATAAAGTGCTGGCAGCTGAAAGTATGCTTCCTAATAAATTGAAACATCATTTAGAAACAATTCACAGTAATTTAATTAAATCTTGCGGTTTTCCTTGTAGAAAACCGCAAGATTTTTTTGCAAGAAAATTGCGAGAACTGAAACATCAGTCGACATCCTTGTTTTCCAGAGCATCTATTCCCTCCAAAGCACTGCTCGCCTCTTATAAGGTCGCTCACCGTATTGCCAAATGCAAGAAATTACACACGATTGCTGAAGATCTTATTTTACCTGCAGCGATTGATATGGTATCAGTGATAATTGGAAAATTGGCAGCTAAAGAAATAAAAAATGTTACTCTTTTTAACAATATGATTAGTCGTCGCATTCATGACATAGCTGAAGACATTAATGAGCAAACTGTGGAAAAACTTTCTGGTTTATTTGCCATTCAACTGGATGAAGCAGCAGACAGTAATAACAACGCTCAATTAATATGTTACGTGCGGTACATGGAAGGAGCAAATGTATGTGAGGATTTGTTATTTTGCAAAGAAATGACTGATACCAGGAAGGCTAGTGATTTGTTTGCAATCATAGATTCATACATGAAAGAAAATAAAATTCAATGGGAGAACTGTGTTGATGTGTGTACAGATGGAGCTTGCACAATGTCAGGGCAATATGGAGGGCTTCAAGCTCTAATTAAAACCAAGGCACCAAATGCAAAATGGACACATTGTGTCATACATAGAAAGGCCCTAGCTACAAAAAATATTTCACCTGAATTAAATATTGTGATTGATATAATTATTAAAGTGGTAAACTTTATAAAAACAAGACTCGTGAAGGCAAGATTTTTCCGAAAGCTTTGTGAAGATTTGGGTGCCGAGCATACATCTTTACTTTATTACTGTAACTCTTGTTGGTTGTCGAGAGGTAACGTACTGTCACGTATATACGAATTAAAACATGAGTTGTACACGTATTTATTGATAGAATCGCATCGTGACGCAGAAAAGTTTAAAGATACTGACTTCTTAATAAAACTGGCGTATCTTTGCGACATATTTGAGAAATTAAATGTCCTTAATAAATCGCTGCAGGGAAACGAAACACACATAATGCAACTGGCTGATAAAATTGCAGCGTTTAAAAAAAAGTTGCTGTTGTGGAAAAGAAAAATAGAAGAGGAGCATGAAATTACTGACTGTTTTCCTGTTTTAAATGGCTTTCTGCAAGAAAAATCTATTCAAAATCTGGAGCCAAGTTTGCAATTGATATTTATCCAACACTTATCAACACTAAGCATCCATTTTGATACATATTTTCCAAAGAATGTAAATCAATACGACTGGATTAGAGACCCATTCCAATCGATCCCAACCCCATCTACACTTTCAACAGTCGAGGAAGAACAGCTATTACAACTATCTTGTGATACGAGCCTAAAACTTCGATTTGATAAAGACAAACTATTTCAATTTTGGAGCAATGTATCCCAAGAATATCCAGCTATCAGTACTACAGCTTTGAAGGTTCTTTTACCGTTTACTACATCGTACTTGTGTGAAACTGGCTTTTCTGCAGTTGCAGTAATCAAGTCGAAATACAGGTCACAAATAAATTTAGAAAAAAAAATGAGAGTAGCGATTTCAAAACTTCAGCCCCGATTTGAGAAGTTATGCTCAGAAAAGCAAGCTCATCTTCTCATTAATTGTACTATTATGTTTTCTAATAAATAATAATTATTAAGATTTTATATTCTTTGGAGTTTTCTTTGAATAATGAAGTAATTTTAATGTCTGCTAGAGCTACACGCAGGTATCTTCTTTTAGAAGGGCGTCGCAAAAAAATTATAGCCAGTAAAGGGAGTCACAGTATAAAAAAGATTGGGAACCCCTGTTATAGGCTATGTTGTAAACTCTCAAGTTAAATTAGATTTGTGATTAGGGTGAAATCTTCTTTGATTGTATCGTGTATAATTTTTTCAGAACATTACATAAACTTCCTTACAATTCTACAATCGCTTTATACTTACTACCAGGATAACATCGTAAAAGAACGTATATTATATAAAAAGCAACTGCTTCTAAATACCTTTAAATTAATTAAACTTGCAAAAATAAATCTTTTATTACTAATCTGCAAAAAATACCACCAACCATCTAAATACAAATTCTTCTTCTTCATGTGCCATATCAGGTCACTTTGATGGCGGCGAACACACACCCGGTGCTTGTTAGTACAAATAAGTTTGTGCGCAAAGTAATGTCCTGGGGAATTGGTAACGGAGTGGTTCCCCTTGCCTTCATGATTGGAGGCGGCGCTGCATCAATGTGAAGTGAAGTGGAATTTTTCAGCTCTTGGATTTTTAAGTTATTTTGATGAATTTTAATTATTTGTACTAAGTGTTATATATTTTATGAAAGTGTTTTTCATGGGGACCAAGAATTCGTCAAGTTTGTTAAATTCGGACGCTCCATTACAAAGTAACACTCTTTTAAAAATTTTGTTTACTTTTCAGGTTCAATTTTCCGAACATAAACCGATTAACCGGAATCAGATATCATGGGTTGTCCGCAATGCTAATGTGAGTACATCTTCCAATTTTTTAGGTTCTGGGTCCAGTACTTTAGAAGATATCAACTACTTCCGGTGATTTTTTCGGCACCCTGCAACTTCCTTCCGATGGGCTACTTCTGAAAGATATTCGGGTAATTCTTAAAAGACATAAAATGTAATACTTTCTGAAAATTTTATAACCATAGCTCTTATAGTTTTTGAATAATGGCAATTCTATGATTTATTCTAATTTCAACTTTTCAATCACCATAGCAACTGTCATTGACGTTTTAGTCAGGAACTTTCTAGAACAATTACAGGAAGTTGCATTTTCTACGTTTCTATACATAATTTCAGACATATATATTTTTAGAATCGTCTCGAGCCAAAGTAGACGATACAAATGTTTTCAAGTTAATTGAATTGATATTTTACTTTAGAATAATTTTAAACCTAACATTCTGAATTAATTGAATAAAAAAATTATCTTATTTCATCTTTGTTCAATATGGAATCGGAGAAAAAATTATTTCATGATTTTGCTAACAGCATTCTTGATGAAATAAAGAATTATTCACAGTGTAACCCTAAAAGTAGACTTGGGGTGGAGTGCCATTTGACATATATCTTGACACAGTTTAACAGAGTGATTGAACACGTTGAAGCAATCTTTGAAAAACAAAGATTGTTTGAAAGCTTGGATAAAAGATTTTCTGTTATACCAACTAAGGAGGAGGACATTAAAGAGATTCGGTTGGTTGGTTGGTTGGTAATAGTTTTTTGGCACAAGAGCCATATAAGCTAAGCTGCGCCATAACAAATGGTAAATAATTATAAACATAACAAATAAAAAACATATGACAAAAATAAATAAATAAACAACAGCAACAGCAACAAAATACTAATATATACATATTAATAACAAACAAGAATGAACAAAAGGCTAAAAGATAAATAAATAAATAATTAAATTTCTTTACACAAATTAATGACTTTTAAAAAGTCTAATATATCATAAATATTGGGCCTCATACCCAGAATCTGTTTAAAACTTGCATTTCCAAAATGCTGTCTACGCCTGGTCTCAAAAACAGAGCAATCGAGCAGTATGTGTTTTACAGTAAGAGGACAGTTGCAATACTGGCATATTGGCTGCTCATCACCCTTCAAAAGGTATTGATGAGTCAACCGAGTATGTCCAATTCTCAAACGAGTGATAATAACTTCAGATCTCCTGTTATAAAATTTCTTGTGTGTCCAATTTTCTATTGTAGGTTTGATCTAATGCAGTTTATTGTGGACTTGTGCATTCCACACATTTTGCCATCTCTCTGCTAGTCGTTTTTTAATGACTAGCTTAAAATCACTTCCTTCAATACGCATTGTATGCTGTGAAGGACTAGCTGATTTTGCTGCTGCATCTGCTTCTTCATTTCCTCTTATACCAACATGGCCTGGGACCCAACAAAATTTTATAGAGATATTCCTTGCAAGAAGATGGCAAAACAATTTACGAATTTTAATCACTATAGAGTGAGAACTAGGTTCACACGAGATCAAAGCCTGAAGTGCACTAACTGAGTCAGTGTAAATCACGCAGCGACGATGACCTTTTCTGATTACATAGTTTAAGGCTAAGTGAATAGCATGTAGCTCTGCAATAAAAATAGATGAATTCAATGTAATTTGCTCTGCCACAATTTCATCCTGGCAGATAAACGCTGAGCCAACATAATCATCCAATTTAGAACCGTCAGTGTAAATGGGAATTAAATTCCTGTCATTGTGTTGGATTTCTGCAAAGCACTGTCTATAGACATAGTCTGGCATGGATTCCTTAGGAAACTGCTTTAAGCTTAAGTCAACATTTATTGCAGGAGTAGACCAGGGTGGAATACTATCAATCTTGGCCTGTGAAATGTTGCTCATGTTCAGGTCGATCGTGCTGCTTACATTCTCCATTCTTATGAAGAATGTAGGGACAATACTTGGGCGAGCTTCAAATAACCTTTTCAGCTGAGTATCTGATACTGTACAATCAACTGGAGGTTTAGTATGAGATTTCTGTTTTAAATAATAAAAAAGAGACAACTGTTCCCTCCTAAGAGACAGTGGAGGCTTATAAGCATCCACATACAAACTTTGGATAGGGGAGGTTCGGAATGCCCCAGGACACAAACGCAAAGCTTGGTGATAAATTGGATCCAGTATCCGAAGAGTAAATTCTCGCGCAGAGCCATAAACAATGCAACCATAGTCCAGCTTAGAGTGGACAAGAGCCCTATAAATCCTGAGCATAGAAACTTTGTCTGCTCCTCAGGATGAACAGCATAGTACCTATAAAAAATTTAAAGATTTTAAACATCTACTCTTCAAATTGCGCAAGTGTGTCAGTTTTTAGTCGAAACAAACACCCAAAAACTTGCTTCATTCACAATTGGAATTTTAACCCCATTTAAATATATTTCAAGGTCCAGGTGCAGACCACGCCTTCGGCAAAAGTGAACGCATGAGGTCTTCTCTACGTTGAAACTGAAACCATTGGTCTTGGACCAATTTTCTATGCGATTCAGGGAGGTTTGCAGTTGTCTCTCGATAAAACTCATGTTGCTAGACTGGCAGAAAATCTGAAAGTCATCCACATACAGAGAGTGTTTCACACTGGGAGAAAGGCAGTTAGCTATGCTATTAATTTTAATTAAAAACAGAGTCACACTCAAAATACATCCTTGAGGAACACCTTCTTCTTGGACAAAAGACCTAGATAGAGTGTTGCCCATCCCAACTTGGAATCTTCGATTCTGCAGGAAGTTTTTTATAAAAACTGGCAAGTTACCCCGCAATCCGAACTCATGTAGATCACAAAGTATTCCATAACGCCAGCAGCGATAATAGGCCTTCTCTATATCAAAGAATACAAACACTACGTGTTGTCGTCTAACAAATGCTTCGCGTATGGATGTTTCAAGTTTTACTAGATTATCCTTGGTACTTCTGTTCCTACGAAATCCACTCTGATGTGGTGAAAAGTAGTTCTTTTCCTATAGGAGAAACATCAAACGTCTGTTTACCATCCTCTCTAAAAGTTTACACAGGCAACTTGTCAGAGAGATTGGTCTGTAATTAAAGATTCTTGCGGTCTTTACCAGGTTTTGGAATAGGGATAATAATTGATAGTCTCCAAGAGTCAGGAAGAGTATTTTCTGTCCATATTCTGTTAAACAGATACAGGAGATTAAAAAGGGAATTACTTGACAGATTTTTAATCATGCTGTAGTGGATTTTATCCGGACCTACAGCACTATTCCCCGTGCGAGAAATCACTGTTTGTAATTCAATTCTAGTGAATGGCACATTATATTCCTCATCAGATGAAGAGTAAAAGTTTAAATGTTGCTTTTCCTTTTGCACTTTAAGCTTGGAAGTCCCTTGAATTCATTATGTTGCTGGATGACAAGGAAAAAGTTTCACCCAATGTATCAGCAATACACTGTATATCACTGATTATTGTGCCATTATTTTCCAGCATGGACAGAGAATGAGAAGCATATTTCCCATTAATTTTATGGATTTTATCCCAGACTGCTTTTGAGCTAGTGGAAGATGTTATGCTAGAAACATACTTCCTCCAAGAATCCCTTTGGCTTTGCCTTCTAACTCTTCTGGCATTTGCCTTTGCTTTTTTAAAAGCAATCAAATTTTCAGCAGTGGGGTATCTTCTGAAAATCCCCCATGCTTTCTTTTGTGCTTTAAATGCTGCCTCGCAATTTTGGTTCCACCATGGTTTCGGATGCTTTGGGTATCTTGTTGATGTCTTTCCCATTGTTTTCTCAGCTGCCTGAATAATACACAAAGTGACAACTTCAACTGCATCATTGATATCAGCAGTATTGACCATTTCCTCAGTGATGTTAGCCAAAGAGGAAAATGCAGGCCAATCTGCCGTTTCCAGTTTCCAGCGTGGTGGACGGGCTGTTTCACAGCTTTCTCTGCCTCGATATTTTAGAAATATTGGGAAGTGGTCACTAGAGAGTGGATTAGATCCAACCTCCCATGTAAATGCTGAAAACAGATTCGGAGTTGCTAATGACAGATCAATGGCAGTGAACGTTCTTGTTGGGGCATGGAAGTATGTCACTTCTCCCGTATTAAATAAATATAGTTGCTGATTGCCTATGAATCTTTCAATGGCTCTGCCTCGCCGGTTGATGTCCGGACTGCCCCACATTGGATTGTGGCCATTGAAATCACCCAGTAAAAGAAATGGAGTTGGCAGCTGTTCAACTAATGAGTCCAGTTCATCTTCGTTGACTCTGACATCTGGTGGCAAGTATATAGAACAAACTGTGACAGTCACTCCAACAGAAATTCTGACTGCCACAGCTTGCAAATCAGTTGTTATTTGTACCGGCAAGGATGGGATGTGATTTGAAACTACAATAGCCACACCGCCACTGGCACGGTTGTGTCTATCATCATCCTTGCAGTAGAGATTGAATCCTTTTAAAGTAATTCTCTCTCCAGGTTTCAGATGGGTTTCCTGGAGTGCCACGCAGAGAGATGAGGTATATGATGTCAAGTGTTTAATGTCAGAGAAGTTGTTGTGAAAACCAGGACAGTTCCATTGGATTATTTTGTAATCCATTATGTGTTTGAGGCAGCATTCTTTGTGAAGGTATCGTATCCCTCTTTAGTTTTACGGCTGATTTGCCTTTTGGAGGTGAAGTTGGTGGTGTCACCTCCTTATTAGTCTCCTTGTCAGAGAAGTCGGAGAACTCACTCATAGACTGAGCCTCTGATCTCTTAGATTTGGAGATGGCTGCTTTTAATTTTTGTTTGTTGAGCGGGTTCTTAGCAGCCTTCTTAGAACCCACGTTTTTTGTCATTACCCCTGTTTTTGGTAGAAGTGTTTTGGCTTTCTTGGTCTCCTTTTCTGATGTTTGGATAGTTGGGAAAATTAAACATTTCACATGGCGGGTAAGACATTCACTAGGAGAAACAGAAATATCTGTTTGAACCCCACATGTCTTTGTAGATTTCAAAACAGCAGCAAATGTTTTCTGTCTCAAAGGTGCAGTTGAAGTGACCATACAACAAGCCTCATAGTGTTGTTGACTGTTTTCACCCGTTGTATCTCCTTTTCTTTTTGCCATGCAGGGCATTTTCGGGAGTAAGAAGGATGGGCATCTTTGCAGTTAACACAGCATGGGGTACTGGTACACTCGGTACTCTGGTGACCTTCAGTCCCACACTGTGCACATACGCTCTTGCCACGGCAGGATGTCTGTGAATGTCCAAACTGCTGGCATTTGAAGCAATGCAGCGGATTTGGAACGTACGGACGGAGAGGGCAGTGCAGATAACCTGCTGTAATAAAAGATGGCAATGTAGGCTTGTTAAAGGTGAGAATTAAATGTTTGGTTGGTATTAATTTGCCATCCCGACGAATGGAAATACGTCAGACAGCAGTGATACCCTGGTCTGAAAGGTTCATCTGAATATCTGATTCATCTTCAGACATCAGATCAAACTCAGATATCACACCACGTGATGAGTTCAAACTTCCATGTGGTGTGACTGTGACTTCAATGTCTCCCAATTTTTTTGTGGCTAAAAGTTTTGCCGACTGTTGAGGTGAGGCAGTTTCTACAAGTAGGTCTCCTGACCTCAATTTTTGCATTTTTTTCAGGTGCCCGATCGTTGATTCAAATAACTTCTGAATCAAAAAAGGGGAACATTTTGACAAAGATTTTTCCCCAGTAGCTTGCACTATTAAGTAGGATGGCTGACTGGCAGTGTTTTCATTCATGTTTTCTGGTTTGTCTGTATTTTTTGAAGATTTATGATCCATGATTAAATAATAATATTTCAGCTCCTAGTGACCCCACCCACCATGGGGCCCAATAAGGGGATGCCGTCACATGGGAGACTCCCATAGACCATAACACCAGGGTTTCCCAGGAGCTATACCCTCACAATGCAGTCAAGAAGAGCACATCTTGTCTGACATGTCTGCCCGGTCTGCATCGATCGGTTGACTCCAAGCCAAGGTCAAGAATGACTCAACGACCAGCCAATTGACTCAAACCTGATTTGAGCCTGATTTGAGCCTCCTGTTTATCCGAAGAAGGGGCCAAAGCAGTGTGTTAGGGACGTTATGTTGTCCCTCAACTACCAGGATCCCCCTTTCCGGCATACGGGGTACCATGCACGGCAAACGTGGGTGGGCGTTCAGATCCCAGGGATGGTATAGAAGAGTTACTAAACCATCTCTGGGAGGTCCCCTCACCACAGACAGGAACCCACACCGAAAGGTAAAGAGAATCGAGGTTCCCAGGATAAAGAATCAATTAATATTCTGAAAGATATTCTTCAGAAAGTGAATAATTTCGGAAAGCAACCATCTGACTTACACACAATTGAAAGAAATGCTACTTATCCTAGTTATAGAGATGCATTAAAACAAGGTAATATATTGTCTAATATTGTTAAAGCTCCACCTGCATTAGCACATACACTTTTAGTGTACAGCAATGACAAGAATTCAACATCTGACCAGACAAAAAACAACTTACTTCAAAATGTAGAGCCTCAGAATATTGGAGTTAGAATAAAATGTGTTAGAAAAATAAATAATGGTGGAGTTGCTGTTGATTTAAGTTATCAAAACGATGCTGCGCACTTCAAAGAGTTTGTAGACATAGTCACAGGTTTAACATCCCACACGCCTAAAAAGAGATTGCCTTTAATCAAAATAGTATCCGTTCCCTCAATTATTAGCGAAGAAGAACTTATTGAAGATATATATGAAGAGAATACACATTTATTTGAAGATATTTCTTTTTGCATATATGCTAAACAGATTAAAGTTAGACTCTCCTTAAAACAAAAAAGTGATGAATATGTTTCCTGGGTGATAGAAGTGTCTTCTGATATAAGAAAAAGAATTCTTAAAGGAAAGATAGTTCATATAAGGTGGACAAACCTATAGTGCATATAATTATATTCCAATACTGCAATGTTTTCGATGTTTGTCGTTTGGTCACACAGCGAGAAATTGCCCTGCATCTGAGAACATATGTAGCCATTGTAATGAGAACCACTTGTTTAAAGACTGTACCAAAGAACATGAAACACCAAAATGTGCAAATTGCCTGAGGAAAAACAAACAAGAACATAATCGCAATACAATGGACAAAATGTGCTCTACATATCTTGAAGAAAGGATAAAATACTTAAATAGAATTGACCTTACATAACACAATTGTTTGATTACAAATTGAAGAATGCGAGGTAACTTTAATAGTATAGAATTTATCATGTATTCAGTGAGGTATTTCCTCAGGTTACACCAATGTGTTTTTAATGTTTGTCTTGTATTTAATTTTATGTATTGCATTTCCTGTATATAGTTTTATGTACTGTGTTGTAATATTTTGAATTTTATTATTTGTAATTTAATTTATTCTACTAATTCTTAAATGTATTCAAAACATAACTATGTAATTTTGTAAACAATTTTAATCAGGCTATGTATACCTGAATATGTAATTTTAATATTACGTTAATAAACCAAATATATGATGATGATGATGATGCCTTCTCTGCGTTTTGTGAATTGCAATAAAGGAGTACCTAACCTGATACCTGAGAGGAAGTCTACCGTTTGCATTTATTCCAATTAAAGAGACACACATTTCAATCGTATATAACAGCTACCATATCTGACATTTGTGAAGAGGTTTGTTTCTACTTGTGCTGTCTTCAACTATCTTTGTAAAAGTGAATTATAAACACATTCTTAAACAAGCGAAATCTACCCTAATAGACATAACATTCAAAATTCCAAATCTCTTAAATATATCTTAAAGCACATCTAAAAAAGCCTTTTCATCGCTTGCTGACTATAGAAGATTTAATGTAAGACTTAAAACGCATTTACTTTAACAAAATACTTAAATTTCATAAAATTGAAAGAAGGAATAAAGGAAATCATAAGAGAGGCAATTCTCGTTTTTTCTTGTATCCTTTATGAACATACATATACAAATATATACTGCAAAGCGGTTTTTGTAATTATATCTATATCTAAAAAGCTAATGTAATTTAATTAGTATTGAAAATCATTTTTAAAAATGTAAAATTTTACCTAAAAAGTTCTTTTCGTCAGAAAATGTCACGTCCTTAACTTCCAGTTTACTTTTTGTTACTTTCAAATTAAACTTGGAAAGATAATTATTAAATTCAGTTTCTAAGTCCTTACAGCTCTGGTTTAATGCAAACGAAGCAAGAATCTCGTCGGTCTGTAATTATACACAAATGTTTGTTTATAGCGTATTTAATCCTTTGTGGGATTCAATAATATAATTTAAATACATTAGAGTCAAATTATGAAAGTAAAAATCTAGACCAGAATGATTTAAAATATGCGCATTAATAGAAAACGATACGAAGGATGGAGCATGACAAGACACTAATATAAATAGAGAGGGTCGAACAAACTTTGTTGCATCAGCAGGAAAGTTAGTTCATCCCTCTTTCCATCAAAATATATATATGAACGAATAATAATTGTTTATTGTGACATGATCACAATGCAAGATGCAATTTTTAATCATCTTTTAATTTGAAAATTTACATGAACTCCAGTCCAAATTGTTAGTTCGTACATAGTTAATCGGATGTCCAGTTCCTAAACTTTCCGTATCAAGTCTCAAATTCCAAGTAGAGAGATCTCTCAAGAGATCTAACTCCGCTCTCGAAGGACAGAGAGACAGACAAACAACGAAAAGAATGTATATGTCTGTAATTTGAAAATTGCAGCCAAATAAGCATGGCTATTCCCGGATGGTATCGTACGATACACACTAAATATACTACATCCGTTTAGTCAAATAACAGAAACTCACTCCAAGAAAATGCTACAGGAGAGCACCGAGTGACTCAAACCACTTTCTAGTCGAAATAGTTGTAAAAATGTAGTTTATACTAATTTTATACAAACGTACAAATACCTTTATATACTTCATCCATTCTTGGTGGGTACTTAGCTCCCGTACGATGGAAAACATAGGACATTTTCTAATAAAAACGAAGAAAAAATATCCTCCTGGCTTCATTAATGAAAAAACAGTAGAAAACAACTTCTTAAAATCATTTACAAAATGCAAGGCGTAGAAAGACATGACTTTGCCATATTTTCCAATTTCTTTTAAATCGAACCTGAAAATGGTAAAGTTCGAATTATATTTTACATCTTCAATTAAATCTATTTTTAAAATAGATTAAGACCTCGCTTAGCTTCTTTAAGAATAGTATTGTACGTTTGCATTCATTGATAAATGCACTCGTTTCTTTATTTGTATAGTTGTTTCTGTTTATTATTATTGTCGAATTTTCTTTATATATAGTAAAATTGATTGTACGATGTGTAAATTTTATGCTAGAAGTAGCAAACACCATTCAATATGAATAATATTTAGCACATTATAGCTTGTTTATATGGTTTAACTTATAGTAAAATTGGTGCCGTCATACATGGTTTCGTTTACATCATAATTTCCAAGAACCTATCAAAGGCATTAAGTGATAAGCAATATTTCACCACCAGCAATTCTTTGAAGAAACGAAATATGTATAATGTTATTTTTTCTATAAAAGTTCTGTTTTATAATCTTTCAGAAATTGTTTATCTTTTGCCAAAGTAAATACTGTATTATATTTCATACCCGGTGCTTATTGATTAACGGGCGAAAGGAAACATCAGTGAAAGCTGACCAGACTGTTATTTCAGCAAAATGTACGCAATTCTAAACGTAGTGTACCATTGCCATATTCGTTTTTGTCAGATGGTCAGTGATCCCTAGAACTACTTTTGAAGTGAAATAGTTTGTGATTAATTATTATACAGGTTGTATCAGAATGACGTTTTAAAAATTTGTGGGATTGTATAGGATGAAATTTTGAACGTTTTCATATAAGGAACCTATAGCCGGAAATTTGAACCAAAGTGTCTACAGCGGTAGGATGTGCTTGACTGCACTTCACTTTGGTAGCTACCCTTTCGTCCATTGACGTCATGTTACTGCTACTGATTAAAGACTGTAAACACACAACTACAGTGGTCTAACTGAGCCTGTGTACAGAACGTTGTGTACTTAGTGCTTGTCATCCTTCAGGTTACCCCTTGCATCCACTGGCGCTGTGCTGTAAACACACAGCAAGTCAATGTGAGTCAGTGTACAGTTATCTGCTTATCGTGCTCCACATACTGTGGATACGTTCTGGCGTCATGGAGAGTAACTACACATTTCATTCAGCATACCGACCGCATAAAACACTCAAAGTGCTGTAGAAACTTTATATCACATTTTCAGCTATAGCTTCCTTGTGTCAAAACATTCAAAATTTCATCCTCTATAGTCCCCCAAATTTTTGAGGTGTCATTCTAATACACCCTATATACTATTGATTATTATAAGTTTATTAGAAGAACATATTCTCTTTTGGTATATACACACTGTTTATGTTTGTGACTCTTTATTTAGGCTATACAGTAGACCCCCCTATAACACGGGTTCCTAAATTACAATTCCTATAAGACGGCAAATAAATTGTGACAGTATCCGTACAAACCTGGTAAAAGAACTCCTATAATTCAGTAAAACGTCATCAAGCAGCCGAACTACTTTCCGCCGTCCAGTGCCACGCTACAAAGATAAAAAAAATTTAGGCGGGTAAATTGAGTTTACTATTGTCTGTACAGTATTATATATAAATTATATATAAATTAGGTACTGTATATATAATTATATATTAATTTAATTTATTGTAACTTTATTATAATTATATACTTTCCGCCGTCCAGCGCCACGCTACAGAGAGTTTAGGCTAGTAAGTGGTTTACTATCATCTGTACAGTATGTAAATTAAATACCATAAGTCTAATACAGTACTGTAATTTTATACATCTTTTGTGAAAGAAACATTTCTTATTCAACGGCCATAAACATTATTTGTATTAATGATGTCACCAAAGTTCAACGAAGTTTTCGCAGAAAAATAACTTATCAGAAATCACGGCCGAGGTTTGGTGCACTGCTCCGCGACGAAAACAAGTTTGAGCAATAGCGACGTCAAACAGTGCACGCTCGGTAAGTAATCCTACAATTTTTTGTTTATAGCAAAGTTTATACAGATTATTCCCAAAAAAAAATATACGTATTTTGGAAATGTTTAGTCAAATTAGTCTAGAATCGATTAATTTTATGGAAGAAAGCCTTTCAAACAGCTGTAGTCCGTAAACTTCACACGTGTCGGGCTGTGATTGGCAAGGACTCGTAAGAAATCAATTCATAAAGAATGGAATGTATCTACCGTGTTATAGGGGGGTTGACTGTATATATTACCTTTTCTTATCATTTTCCCCACTTCAGGGCTACTTATTTATTAAGAGTTACTTTTAAATATCTTATTTTCTGTTGTGAAATAATGTTAATTTCATAAAGTTCAGAATCACTGGTATATGGCCAATCTAAGAAAAATCAACGTGATTTAAATTAAAATTTTTTTTACTTATTGTATTATTTACACAATTTCATTTGGATACGAGTATACAAAGAAATTTTACTTACCTTTGAATGATATCTTGAGTCTTATATTCTATTTTCTGGTCAAAATATGTTTTTCTGGCATACTTGATGTAATTCGGTACGATGTCGATAGCTACGATTTTCTTCACTTTTGGGCATTTTGGTAAAAGAATATTTTTGGTGGTTTTTCCTGGACCGCATCCGATGTCCAAAACGATATCCTCGTCGGACCATTCCATGGTTGGAAAAAGTAAATCCAGAGACGAACTAACGTAGCGATCGAGAAATTTTGGGTACGAGTTTTCGTAATCTTCGGCTGTTCCGTCCATATTTTTTTAGATGAAAAATGAAAATTCTGTAACAAATAAATCAGAAAGTGATTTAAGAAGGATAACACTTTAACCTGCCATTAAAAAATTATTTATCACGTATTCTTGTAATTTATGATAAATAAATTATATAAAATAAAAGAGAAGGGATATTCTCATAATATTAAATGAAACAAATTTTAACTCGTGCAACTTTGCTCGTGTAAATATTTAAAAAAATAGTTATTATTGAACTTAGAATAAATTATTCAACTTTAACGCATTAATAAGAATAAATTACTTTAAAATAATAATTAAACAACATCATTTTTTTAACTGTTATATAAAATATTAATTTATGAAACATTCCAATGCAAGTGAAAATCTATACCTAAATGTTACATACGATCCAAACATTCTCTTTATTAATTATTTACATTTTTTATTCAATAATATGTAAACATAAAAAATACACAAATAAATTTATTTAAAATATTCTTTGATTTAAAATTTTCTTTGATAGTAGAAAAATATAAGATTTTGTGAGATACAATTTAAAATCACAAACCGTCATTTAGAAATGTTTATACTACTGAAGTCGGATAATAAGATTTAATGCTTACCTCGAAGATTAAAATATTTCAGCTGCTTTAAGACACGATTGCAATGTTCTCAACTTCTCAATCCCATCAGCTCTACACGCTCTTATATTTATATACAGAATTGTATAAACAAAAATATATACAAAACTGATAAAAATATTTATAACCCTGGAAGACAGTCGTCTCCTCGGGCTTATCTATATGCTTTTATTTTTTGTAAACAATGTCACAATGTATATTATCATTTTGTTTAGTTTTAAAAATATTTTGACATGCAATTATGTATGTTTATATCAATACATTGTTTATATCTAAACAATGTGCTATAAATATCGTCGGTTACGTTGTGAATACAATTGGAGGAAGTCAGAATCGCAAGAAAATGAACGTCTGGAATGTTCAGGAGAGGTTTATGTCCATGCCTCATTCCACGTCTTAAATCGGGTGACCATAATTAGTGACCTATTCAATGTTGCGTCAGGAGATAAAATCTAGCAGTCAAAATCCATGAAATTGGGTGTCAAGACATTTCAAGAAACGTTTCCGTAGATTATTAAAACTGCTTTTCAGTTTGTGTAGTAAAACATTGGTAAAATTAAAATGTTTATGTTTTATTGTACAATAAAATTTATACTTTGAATATATAACAAATAGATTCAATTTAAATTCTTGGACTTGGCTAAAATAATTTATGGATTTCGGGTTAAGACAAGTTGACACACAGGCGATCCGTCAAGGTCGATGCAACCGAAAACATTTTTTTAATGAGAAACTGGCCTCTTTTTTGCCTTCTCTGCGTACGCAATGTTACACAAAGGAGAAATGCTTTCCAGAAGGTCTTTTAAGGGTAACTGGCCTTTAATCAGACGCTACAGATGGGAAAATATCTTACTACTGCCAACATTTGAATACAGTTCCCGCCAAACCACGCCGATCTACCAAATGCTATACAATTGGAATTGACTAAAATAATCAGGAGTGAGAAAACCTACAAACAATTTCAAGATGCTATCAGAAGCTTGAATCATGTTCGAATTTGTATGTTGATCGTTTAATTTTTGTTTTATTGTCTTTATTTTTTTGTGTGTTTGTTATAGTGTGCGAGGTATTTATATTTTGCTTAGATACTTGTAATACGCTTATGGCCAGTGTCATAAATAAATAAGTAATAATAATAATATTAATAATTTTAAAAATAGAAGTAAAAACATGATTTTGAATGTATTCCTTATTTCGGCAGTGCAAATACCCAAAAATTGTAGAGTTTACCATTCGTGTAAACTCGCACACTTTTACTAAGGATTATCAAACCTCGCTTTTACTATTCTGAGTACACAGGAAAAAAAGTAAAATAACAATAATTCAAAAATAAGTTAAACAAGAAACAGAAGTCATAGCGTTACCATATTAGCTTCCTCACATGCATTTCTCCAATACAGAAGCTATTATATCGTTCTGTTTTCCAATTATTCTTAGGTTCAGAGGCATGCGCAATTATGCATGCTTAATTAACTCGGGAAAGGTCGCGCGTAGGGGTATGGTTCATTAGACATTTATTGTTCGCACAGAGGGGGGTCACCACCCCTTCATTCGGAGGGTAAATCTTACTGTCCCAATCGCGTCATACGGATCTATATTTCTACCTATTAAACATTCTATAAATACTTTAAAATAGTTTAATTTGTTTATTTACCTTCTATTCTATTCTATTCTTCACCCCCTTGTGCATATGGAGATAACAGTTTATTTTCCTTCACTTGTAAACCTCGATTTTAAATGTATCCGCCATTTTTTCAACAAATTTCCTGTGAGTCAATGCGCGGCGTTCACTAAGTCACGGGATGTTGTAAACATGCGATGCAAAGTTAATCAAGGCATATAATAATTACTTATATCATTCCGTCGTATAAATAATAAATTCATATCAATAATAAATTCCTATTACAAATAAAAATAATTTATTGTTAATTTAAAATCATCGCTAAGGCGCCTCTAGTGCCCGTTTTTGGCATACCGTTACACAAACGGATACCCATTCAATGGGTTATATATATAGATTCACATAATAACAAACTTTAAATTTTAATTTTATATCAAAGATAGAACACATATTATAAAAATATTAACATAATACTGTAATACATAACAATGATTTAGGGGAGATCGGGGCAACTTCGGCATGCGGGGCAAGTTTGTCAAGCGCTTTTTTTAAAAAAACAAATTAAAAGAAGACTTTGGTTATAGGTTAGGCAGTTGAGTTTTATTGGTGGCTTGTTGAGTGTAGTGTTTTTATTGTTCTCCAACAAGCGTAGNTAAACTTGAAGATTTATCTACTAAATTTGAATGGCTGGCAAATTTGCATAAAGATTTTGAACAACGTCTCCTTAATGTAGAAAAAAAGGTAGAGGAAATTTCTAACTTAAATACCTCATATACTGCTTCGACCTCCTATTTTTTATATCTCTTAGATTCATCGATAAATGAACAGCAGAGAAATAATATTGTTATTGCTGGATTAGTTATTGCTATAACCCTCGTAAAAAAGGTAAATAACCCTCGTAAAAAAGGTTTTTTCGTGGATCGTTATTATTCAACGAGGTGTTAAATTGTTGGAAGTAGTTATATATTTTATATACTTGTGGCCCAAAACTCCATGACTTCTTCCAATGTGGCCCAGAGGAACAAAATGGTTGGACACCCCTAATCTAGACCATTCAATGTTTAACTTGTCTTGCAATAGCATCCATTTTCGGAGGTTTGGGAGATTTCGACCACCCAGTTCCTGTAAACAGCGTTCTTTTGTCCAAAATAAATTTTACTTTGAATTCCTGCATAAAGTCCTGCTCAGTATAAATGTCATTAACAATGTTATTTTGTTTGTATATTAGGCTAGCCAGGTCGTCTTTCTGAACATCAGAATGTACGGAGTAAATTACAATGTGCGGCCATCGTTTTTTCGGCCAGCATGTAATCAATTCTGGGAGGTGTTCTCCAATACAGTTCTCTAGAGTAGTGGCATCCTCACGATGCCCAAGTTCTATGGCAACGCTGCCCTTACCAATTTTCCGTATTTTCTGCATATGTTGGTTATTCTGTTTATTTATTTCTGGTTATTTATGAATTACAGGTAACCCCCGTATAACACGGCACTTCTATAGCATGGATTCACTCTAACACGGTTCAAGAATTGGGACCATCCCCGTATAATACGGTACTGTTATAGCATGTATTCACTCTGATACAATTCGAGAATTGGGTAAAACCCTTGTACAACATGAAATGTAATAAATTTTTACATACTTAAGTACTAATAGTTTACGAAAATTATTATTTTCGTGAACTATTAGTACATAAGTATGTAAATTTTCTTTTCTCGCCTTCTGTTGATACACATGGTCCTTCTCGAAACTTGTTTCAATGTTGCCAGATTTCGACGTTTCTGCTTCTGATGCTGCCAGATGTTTTTTCCTTATTCCATACTTGCTTTATTCTTCATAAGTGCTTAGCACCATATAAGGAAATTTATAAAAATCTTTTAACTAGAAGCAAGCAATCTAAAATTACATACTTTTTGCAAAAGGTAGAGCATGGATCTGAAGATAATGCAGAAAAATGCTCAGAGGATAAGGCTAACTTGCCAAAAAGAAAACGCTCTCGGTTAATAGTGCTTTTAGTGATGATGAAGAAAACAANTTCTTCAATTGTATGAATATACTTTTAAAGAAAATTATAATTAAATATAACTTTGTAATGAAACGTACATGAAAATAACATAAAATATTCTTTACTCTTTAAATCTTAACCACTTAGTCAAATAGCTCCCTACGAGTGGAATCAGAGACGGTCGTGCTAGGTGTGCGGTGTGTACTGTACATGCACGCGGTCTGCCAAATCCCGAGGGTGCCGATACCCTCGGGATTTGGCAATGTCAAATGTTTTTTTTGTCGCATCACTAATATACCTCAAAAGACGCGACAGGGTTCTTGTAAATTTTAAACGTTTCTCACCATAGCTGTAAAAGTCTAAATGTTAAACTTAACAGATTGTCCATCTTTTGTTTTCTAACTAATTCGTTTTAGGACCAGGTGTTGTCCACGGAAATTTCCAAAATTTACAAATTTTCGGTCACTCTCATCGAACTGGAAAAATTTCTGTTTATTACATCTAATACAGTATTTCGAAGAAGTCAGTTCCCACTGTACTCGGCTATAGATTGGTTCGGTTAAGCTTTTGTTTAAGTAATATTCCGGCTTTTTCATCAGGGTTTTGTTTATGTCTCCAATTCCCTAATCGCTTAATTATTTAACTACTTCTTAAGTAGAAATAAGTTAAAACCAGTTACTTTGTACTTGAATATTTGTAGTCTCAGGAAAAAGTGGAAAGACAAATTTTTATGACAAACGGATACATAAATCGTAAATTTAAGGAAAATAAATTATAGAGCCTTTTCTGTACCTGGTGCATCTCTCTCATTCATTAAATTTAGTTGTAAATGATGCTACCAAAATAACAGTTATTTTTTAACATTATACAAGAATTGTACATGTTTTTTTCTACATCCCCTTAAAGATGGGATGTACGAAATCGTAATATCACTGGTTTAACATCAAAATCCGTGAGTAATATAAAATCGGAAAGTGGAATAAATATATCAAATATTTTAATGGATTTTTTTAACTCCTGTCAACTATACAGAACTTCGTAAAAACATAGTAAATTCTTATCGGTTGGGTTAAGTTATAAATCTACTCGTTATTCACGTAATCAAAATATCTAGTGGGCAGGCAACTAACAGCCCAGAACCGGTCCTTGATAGAATTGGAATCTTTATATGTGTGCAGCTTTCACCCAAGGTCGTAGGCTTCCACCGGCTAAACCGGGTGAGGTTGGTGCTCTGTAAAGTGCATGCGCAAATCTGGCTTTTCGTAATCTGAAAATACAGAAAATTCCACTACGCCACTAATATTCTAATATACAATAGCAATTTTTTTTCCACGTGTAGTATAGAAATTTGTAATAAGATACATAATGCAGTTATAATAAAATATTGTGCGATTATTTTCATATAATTAAAATTAATATTTATTTATTTTTTAGAGAATACGAGGGAAGCGGCGCTTCCAACGCTTCTAATGATGGCACGCCACTGGTGTAGCCATATGTACGCCATTCGGAGAGATTCTACCTTTCTGTATGTCTATCTGCTGTCTGTCTCTCCTTCTTCCCCTCCATTTTCCCTTATGCTTTTTTCTGCCATCTGAATACCTCGTGTACGGTTGATGTCTTTCTTGTATGTATGTGCATAATTTTTTATGTTAATAATAAGATCTTAAGCAAATTACTCTGCAAAACCTTGTTAGACACACCTTTTAAAAATAATTTTATATACACACAGTTTAATATAACTTAAACAAAAACCCTTACTTCCTTCCTATGCACATAAATCCCTTATTTGAATTCTTCATCATACAGTTTGATTATATATTCAAATATTATATTCTAGAATAAATTTAGAAGATCAACCTTATTTCAAATTAAAAAACTTGAGGAAGAACTCAAAAGAAGTTAAGAAAATGTATGTTATTTGTTGCTTAACCTTTTACTTCACACTAATTATTGGTTTTAGAGTGTGTTATACTACTGTAATGGTAAAATAATAAAATAATTCTGTTAAACATAAAAAAATCTAAAATCCTACATTGTTCAGATCCAGTACCTAGAGCAGTGCTTCTCAACCACTGTGCCGCGGCACTTTAGTGTGCCGCGAAATTTCTGAAGTGTGCCGGCACTGATTTGCCCCGAAATTTCTGAAGTGTGCCGTTTCCGCGACACAAAACATTTTGTTTACTTTATAATGCAATTTCCCTTTATATTTCATTGAAAATTCTTATTGTATGCTCTTTTTACAAAATATATTATAGGTACAGTACATCCCTCAATTAATGAAGTAAAATTTTTTACAATTTATCTTATTGTTAGTGTGCCGCCAAATTTTTAAAGTACTAAAAGTGTGCCGTGACGAAAAAAAGGTTGAGAACCACTGACCTAGAGTCTTATCCACTCAGCTATCACTGCTCAGAGAGATGGAACTTTCAAAGACTCATATGCTAAACACTCAATTTTCAGAGGCCCATTTTTTTGGAAATGCTTCAGAAGTATTATTTGAACAAGAAGCTGTTTGTGTTTAAGGCTACATGCTTTAAACAGTGTGCTTAATATGAATGAAGTTTTGTTCACATTGAGACCCAAACGTCTGGCCCTCTCTTTTAACTGACAGCTTAACATGTTGTTGTTTCCAGACGCCAAACTAATATGCATTAATTATTAGCGAGGTTGCGACTGACATTTTTATCTCTAAAACGTGAACGTCACGCACCACTTACAAGATAGCGCCGTTTGACGTTCACGTTTTAGAGATAAAAACGTCGGCCACAACCTGGCCATTAAGTAAAACCAATAGCAAAAAATAATTTGAAGTGTAAAAAAAATTAAAAACTGGCAAAATGATTGGCAATATTTTTAAATTTTCCAGAG